CATTGCTACCCCCAGGGCCCCCATCCCGCCTAACCCTGGAGCGGTTGACCATGAGATCTAGCCCTTTGACTTCCCACGGACGGGCTTTGACCAGTGGACCTCTCCACCCGGTTGTGTCAGGTCGGCCCATAGGGACACCCGGGAGCAACATCCGGGCCAAAACCACAGCTAAATCCACTCCGTGTAGACCCGACGCGTCCGTTTCCCCCCTCCAGGTGCCGGCGGCGGCGCCGTCCGTGAGGGAGGCCACGCACCGGAGACGCGTGCCGCCTCTTCGGACATGCCACAACACCACCCGGTTGTCAACACGTACTATATGTAAGTTAGTCAAATAATAATATTTAAGAAAACATAAAATATAGCTATGAAAAAAAGAAAAAAATAACAAGTGGAGGGGGTGACCGGGAAGTGGATAAGGGAACTATGATAAAAAGATCGATGACGTGGTAAAAAAAGAAAAAAACTATGAAAAAATATAGATATGAAAAAAAGAAAAAAAAGAAAAAAAGAAAAAAAGGAAAAAAGAAAAAAAAACTATGCCGACGGCAAAGCCGTCGGCATAGCTGCGGCATAGGGCAGATGGCCGGTGCGCTGCGGATCGATGATGTGGCATCTATGCCGACGGCGGCCGTCGGCATAGGTGGTGGTCGGTGCGCCTCAGATCGATGACGTGGTAAGGGCGTCTATGCCGACGGCCTCCCGCCTCTGCCGTCGGCATAGATCGGACGCCGTTAGCCGCACGGCACGGCGGGATCGCCGGGCCCGCAACTATGCCGACGGCCCAGATATGCCGACGGCTGCTGTAGGCGTAAGTTTGGGTAAGCCGACGGCCGTTCTGGACCGACGGGGGCCGTCGGCATATGTCTGGATAGCCCGACGGCTTTATTACGCCGACGGCCTGGATATTGCTGTCGGCATAGCCCTGACAAGGCCGACGGTTGCCGTTGGCATACATATGGCCGTCGGCATAGGGCCCTGTTCCGGTAGTGCATCATACCGTAAAAAATGTTTCGCTGTATTACCCTAAAACGATTTTGCAGTATGACCTATCTGCTAGATAGAGATGTTCTAACATGGTAGGGGGCTGAATGATGCATCATCATTCACAAAGTCTCATTTTAACACTAGAGATGTCTCGTGCAACAACAGAAGTGCCAGATCAGGAGATCAAACCTGTAGATTAGTCGACGTTAGTGTGGACTCTTTGGCGCACATGTGGCCCCGGAGTCCTGTGCCGTCGCACGCACAAAAAGCTAGCTGCAGGCCGTCCAAGCACGCAGCACGCGTTTGAAGCGATTCCCAGCCGCTTTACGTACGTGTGCCTGTCAGATCAGGATAGGTCGCTCCGTCCCAACGCAGGCAATCAGGCATCTGAGCATTTCTCGGATCGTATGCAGGATATCATTTTGTCCCATGCAGATGCTTCCTTTCAAGAGTCAACACGACGCACGCCGGCCGGGCGCCTCCTGCGCCTGCGCAGCCGGCGGTGGCATGCACGCACGCACGACGCTAGCTGTCGTCCCTTGGCCGCCACGTACTTCAACGACTCTCCCCTCCACTCTCTTCATGCACCGTTGCCCGCCCCGCCCTATAAATTTCCATGCCACACAACGATCAACCCCATCGCACCCAACCCAGACCTAGCTACCACACTTGATCCTCCACACTGCTAGCCGAACGAAGCTAGCAATGGCGAGGGCGTCGTCGTCGCTGTCCATGGGTGTGGTCGCCGCGGTGGCAGTGCTGGTGGTCCTGTGCAACGCCGTGCCGGCCGCCGCTCAGGGGAAGAAGGGCCCTCCGCCTCCTAAGCTATCGTCCAACTTCAAGACGATCCACCCGGGACGGTTCGGGAAGAGGGACCAGGTGCTCACCTGCGACGACCAACAGGACAAGAAGAACCCCTGCGTCGCCACCTGCGACAAGGACCGCTGCCCCCACGAGTGCATCGTCATGTGCCCAGGCTGCAAGACCTACTGCAGTAAGCCTACCTATACTAGCATACAGTATGTACATACACTAAGAATGAGGTGCCCAAACTAATTGACACCTTATTTTCAAGTGTGCGACTTCTACCCCGGGGTGTCTTGCGGTGACCCGCGCTTCACCGGCGCCGACGGCAACAACTTCTACTTCCACGGCAAGAAGGACCAGAGCTTCTGCGTCGTCTCCGACGCCGACCTCCACATCAATGCCCACTTCATCGGCAAGCGTAACCCCACCATGAGCCGCGACTTCACCTGGATCCAGGCCCTCGGCATCCGCTTCGCCGACCACCGCCTTTACATGGCCGCCCAGAAGACCGCCGAGTGGGACAGCGACGTTGACCGCCTTGAGCTGACCTTTGACGGCATACCCATCGACATCCCCACCGAGAACGATGCAGAGTGGCAGTCCACCATCGTGCCCACCTTGACAGTCACCAGGACCTCCGCGACCAACGGCGTCAGGGTCCAGCTCAAGGGGGTGTTTGACATCTTGGCCAATGTGGTGCCCATCACCGAGAAGGACTCGCGCATCCACAACTATGGCGTGACGGAGGAAGACAGCCTCGCGCACTTCGACATTGGGTTCAAGTTCCACGCCTTCACTGATGATGTCCACGGAGTGCTCGGCCAGACCTACCGCACGGACTACGTCAACAAGCTCAGCGTGAGCGCCAACATGCCCATCATGGGCGGCGCCGCCAGCTACGTCTCCTCCGACATCTTCTCCACCGACTGCAAGGTTGCCAGGTTCGGCCGTAGCCGTGGCGCGATCTCCATGATCACCACCAAGGCCAGTTAAACACCGTGCGTCGACGGCTAGCTCTCGAGACATTCGAGACTTACCCAGGAATAATAAGCATAGAGGATTTATGACATACTGATGCCACCAAAGACACACATGATCAGGTCATTTGGATACACACATAAACATGATTGTGGAATTGATACTGCAAATGATGAAATAAAATAAATTTTATTACTAAAGAATATGTCGCAGTTGAAGTCTTTTATATGTTGAATTTTTTTGTTACTCTGTGTACAATATATAATTTGCTGATCTGATGAATGACTTGAAACATAGTGAAAGAAAAATGTAGACGCACCTGTTGAACAACTTAACACCGTTCCTGCACACACACAAAAAGAGCAATTAATTCAACAACATTGGTGGAGAAAAAAAAACAAGTTCAACAAAACATAAGCCAAATCATGATAAACAAAATACCTTTTCAAAATATGTTATGTGGCCTAAATATGAGATCCATGATGTGTCGGCTCAGTCTATCAGAGATGCTCATAAAGACATGGTGTGCATGTGTGCGTTCATAAGGATGGGTGTATGTGCGTTTGTATTGTGTTAAAAAATGAGATCCACACCTCCACGTGACTAACTTGTGGCACGTAGGCAGGGAGATATCACCTAAGATATATAGTGGGAGTAACCCAGCCTTCTTGGACTTTAGCGCTTCCTGACCGTTGGATCTGGTCCTTGATGTGTTCTCGGCCGTTCGATCGCGAGATGGAGGGATACGGGCCGTCGGATCAAACCGTGAAACTGTAGATCGAAACAGTGTCAGAATCCTGTGCCACTGCGTGCGATTTCAGTGCCCCGCTGAGGGCAATTTCGTCATTTCACTCACAGGAGGATAAACGGGCTGCTCCCGTGGAGACAACCCTGGCCGGCTCTTCTCCCGCTCGCTCCGCCTCCTCCTTCCCACCCGCGCCTCCCTCTCCTCCTTCCCCGCCACCGCCTGGCCTCCTCCCCACCCACCGCCGCCCGACCTCCTCCCCACCCGCGCCTCCCTCTCCTCCTTCCCCGCCGCCACCTGGCCTCCTCCCCACCCGCCACTCCCTCTCCTCCTTCCACCCCTCCGATCTGGCAACGCCAAACCCTAACTCCCCGCCCCGGCCCCGGCCCCGGCTCCCACGGGAGGGAAGGAGGAATGGCGAGGCGAGGCAAAGCCGGTGGCATATGGGACGCGACGGGGGCGGCGTGGCCCAGGGGGTCGGCCTCCTCCTCCCCTACTCCTCTCTCCTCTGCCCCCAGCGCAGTCGCGCCGCTCCTCTTCCTCACCCGCGTTCGTCCGGCATTGGGCGAGTCCCTGTAGGGGGGAGAGAGAGAGAGGATGAGGGCCTCTCGCGCTCGCTTGTGACCCTCAGCCGTGGCTAGGGTTTCGAGCTGGGCATTTCCTTCGTCGCCGGCGCGGCTCTGGTGGACTCCGGCGGCTCCTCTTCGTCTCCTCCCTTGCCCCCACGCGAGGCAAAGAAGAAACGAAGCACCTCACCTGGCTCCTTAGAACTCAGGCACTTTCGGCTGTCGGAACCACTTCTCTGGTAAGTAACTAGAGATACTTGGAGTAATTAGTAAATTTGGTCCTTGCTTAGCCATATAATCATAGGACAAATGCGTCAGGCTTGCAGTTGTTTGAATCCAGGTGACCTTTTTAGGTGCTTCGTGAAAATAGCTACAGTTTTCTGTTTTGAGATGGGGATATTCGCTAGATTAGCAAATGCACATTTGATTATGATGTTATGTTGTGTTGTTAGCATGTAGGAATATTAGTATAAGCTCCATAGAGAAGAAAAGCCACGAATTTGTAGGAGCTAGTTACATCATTTATTTGTGATGTTTATGGTTGTAGTGGTTGACGGTGACTATGTTCTCAAGACAGGTTCCGATGATTTGTATCTTTGTTGGTGCTCTGATAGAAAATGTGAAGGTTCTTCATGACCACAATGAGACATCAGTTTTGTTTACTTTTGAACATAATGAGTACATGTTGAAGGTTTGCTCGTCACGCTTCCTCTATAGCCCGTATGAGCTTTAGTCGGATCACTGCATGTCGATGGTATATATATGTGGAACTACCTAAGGTCACAATCCTATGTCATTTGTTGATTTTAAATAATATGGAAATGGCCTAAGAGATCATGAAGTACTGTAGGATTATTTTTTATGTGATATGTGCCTTCAATTGATCTTGGCTAACCACAATCTCTTGGGACAAATTGTTACATTGTCTGAGATATATGTATTTTGTCTTCAAGGCTTCAAGTGTGGTTAGCACAACATACAGAGACACTTTGGCAGTAGTGCAATGGGGGTCTGTCTGCGTCTTTCAAGAGTGGTGTCAATAACGAGAGGCTTCTATGACAATGGAGGCAGCGACAAGCACATATATACTCTAGCTTTGAGGCACTAAATTGTGTATGTTCTGAACTTACATTAGAGCTTCACATATCATTATATCGTGAGTCAGCAAAAAAATTGCATTGCAAAACTGTACGCTTTTCTTTCGACCGTTTGACATCTTAATCCTTTTAGGTTGGCATGGAAGTCTATGAGTGGATTGTTGTTATTGTGTTGAGCCATGCTTTGATCTATTAATTGGCCAATATTTGATGTAATATTTTCTTTAGATGCATCACTTGTAGTTATCCTTTGATTTCTATTACTTGGCCATTTTTTTCTGGAGCCGTAATTCTGTTATAGCATTTCCCTGCCTTTTTTTCTTTGAAAAACACCATTGATCAGAAACTGATTGTGCCAGCAGGATATTTAAGCATAGCTAGGATATTTATATTTTAGTTGGCAAATAGTTCTGCCAGTTTTTTTATTTATCTGTTATCTATTTCTTTCACCTTTTAATACTTTGAATATATGAATATACTAGGACATATTGTTCGTTGCTTTGTAAAGTTAACTTTTGTAGGAACCTGATTTGCAAAGCTTAACTTTCTATAACAGTTTGGCGTGTTCCAACTAATCGATGCCCTGCTGGTCCTCTTTGTGTCTCTGGTGGTAGTACCCCTTGTCATCCAGCGGCCAATGAGCTACAATGGCACAACTGACATAATCTCTGTTTTTTCCCTTACATTTAAAATTTTGTTAGTTGTCACGTACTTATGGTCATGTACTTACTAATGCTTTGACCTTAGACTATAACCACTGTAGTGGTACCATTAGCACTACAAGCAGCTAATAGATAGGCCCATTGCTTGCATGATGATAAGTTTTGACCACAAGAATGTTCTAACAAATCTTATCCTTGATTGCAGCTAAAAGAGAATTGACTAGGCCCCGGTCATCTCCGCCTCTGATGGTGCTCCTAGATGTGCTACACATCGCCTACTCGTCTCCTTGGCCGCTTTGGTGCCAGTGGCGTTCGTGCTCGTCGGCGGGACGGTGCAAGGCGCAACTCCGACGTGGTTCCTCGCCGGTTGGATGGCGTTCAGGCGCAACCCCGGTGCCCACTGAGTACTGCCTCGGCTACAACCTCCCTTGGTGAGCTCCATCATCCTCTACTTGGGCTACTATACGGAACATGGCCGTGGCTATGTTGATATAGTGCTTGTCTGGTTGATTCTCTGTAGTTGTGGATCCATGTTTGAGCTCTCTCAGAGCTCAGGCACTCTCGGTTGTCGGATCTTTTTCCTGATGCGATTTGGGCCGTTGGATCTCGCCCTCGGTTCACCTCGTCTGTCGGATCAAAACTGAGGCCGTTGCAATGAACAGCGTGCGCCCCGGGCGCACTGAATGATGCATGGCTTTGTGATTAACCAATTTGTGGTTGTTGAATTGTTCTGTGCTGGATAGACTTTCGGTTTTGGCGAGTCCGCTAGAGTTGCTCTTAGCTTGCGCGGGCTATGATGATCGATTATGGCTGATAAAAGCATGCTCTCAAGCAATTGAGGCACTTGTGGGTATTAAGTTGGACCCCCCCCCCTCGTTTCTTTGAGACGTTTTGATCATGTGCTTATTTTAGTGGCTCTGTCCTTAGATGGTCATTTCTGATGAGTGATAACCAGGGCAGTTTCACCCTTGTAAGAACATATTGATCTGGTGATGGAGACACTAGGGGAAGGGTCATGATCAAGCAAAGGCGAATCTGAGCCCATTCAAATGCAGTTCTGGTCTCAAGCACAGTGTGCTATGTTTTTGCCGTTCTGTATTTGTATTTAGCGCCTCTTTGGTTTGTACATTTCCACAATAATAGCTTCAAATCTCTTTTGCTATTTGAAACTGCAGTTTTTTTAAGGGTCACACATACACATGATGTGTTCACATGTTAGTTGAAAACTTGGTGAATTAAATATATGTAAAGCAAAATTTCTTCTTTAAGTTTGCTTCCCATGTACATGTGTTATTGCTTTGAATCTCTATAGTTCATGAGAACTTGCTGCAGCTCACAGTAGAGCTGCCACAAAAAATTGTTGTTGAGCTGGCATTGATCCTTGGGAAACAGAGGTACGCCCATTCTATTGTGTTCTATATGTTCCATTTGATGCATCTTGAATCTGCTTTTCCACACGTTCAGCTTCTAGCTCCAATACAGCACCTTCATATTACCTGCCAATTCACAAGTGCATGTTCTGTATCAAATATAATTGTTCCCTGTGTCGAAACATAGATTCTGCATTGTATAGGATTCCAGCTCTTTAACCCTTTCTGCATGCTCTTACACATATGTGCTTTCATTAAGAAGAAGAATCTACCATGCTAGCTTAGTTGATCCAGGGCTTAAGCTATATACCAAAATAACATCGAGAGGAGTTCTGTCAGAAGTACCTTGAGCCTTTTTATTTTTATATTCTGTTTTCCACACTGAAAGTGCAACTATCCCTAGGTGGTTTTGGTAATTCATAACAACATATAGCTCATTGAGCTAATGCTATTCCAAGATGATTATTTCAGGAAAGCTCAATGATTGGCATGGCATGGATGATGAAAGTGGATTCCTCAAAATGCTGAGGACAAAGGATTGGCTCAAGCTTCAAGCTCAAGACTCTTCATTTTAT